TCTCTTTCAATCTTAATTCTTAAAGAACTGTTGTCCTTTCTGCCATACATCCGACTTCCAATCCTTTAACATGGCCCTCATCCGCTTTTGCTGGAAAGCCAATCCTAAAAGGATTTACCTGGTTTTCTACCGATGTAACAAGGCGAAAAACATCCACCCTGTCGCAGTCCTTTGCAACGGGCGTACTTGCTCTATGTGTCACTTGCTTTATGAACTAGTGATTCCTCTCTGTCTGTAACTGCACCAACTGTCATCACAATGTGACCTGACTTGGCCAGACGAGGTTTTACATTTTTAGTTCAATGGCGAATCCAATCTCTACGTCGCTCGCCTTTTGTGAAGGGACGTACTGAGTTCATAGTGGAATCCGTCAACGTATCACCACTTGACATTCCTATAATCTGTTTGGTTCCCACAAGTGAACACAAACCATAAAGTGGTTTTTACTTGTTGTTCAAGTCTGATTAAAAATCATAATCCTTTGTAATCCGAAGGTTGCTTCTGGTTCATGTGGTAACCCTACATATTATCCTTAGCCCTTTTATGGCGCTTGATCATATGTTCTACCATGAACCATTGTTTCCATCAAGGATTACTTCGATATTTACCAACTAAACTCTCAAAAATAAATATCAGGTCTCATTTATTGCATATACTAGGCTTCCTATTGCCATGCATAAGGACTGCCAGATATCATGCAAAAATAGAATGAGCCTTACAATAGTTTGGACATGAAAATTGGGATAATCGCAACATATCTTTCTTGTGATCCTCAATCTCAAGAATATCTGATGATTTCGAATCTTTCATGTACCACTACTTAGATAATCATACCCTTGCGTTTGTCAACATTTTCACACTGTCTCCAGTGATCAAGATGTTGTCTACGCATAGTACAAAAATACCACCACGCTTCCATTGCGCCACACACAATGCTCATTTGGTGAATAATAAAATACACGATTCGAACTTATCAACCAAATGATCGGCCCACCACGGTCCTTTAAATGGACTTTGTCAGCCTACTGACAAAATTCTCTTTAGCCCTTTTCAATGAAAACTTCTGGGTGCTGCCCCATGGATATTCCTACAAGATTTCCGGTTAAGGAAAATGTCTTGACAACCACTTTGACTAACTCATAACTCATATGAATGGCATCAGCTTTAAATTAGGCAACCGATAAAATAATTAACTCATAATAGATCTCAT